TAATCGTTTAAATAGGGATACAGGTGGACCCATTGCAACAATGAGATGCACAAGTCGTTATGTCGAAAACGAACTTTACAGCTTTGGTGGGGGGAGAGGACTGGATGGGGGGACGGGGGGGTGGGGAGGATGGGAAGTGATGGGAAGGGGAAACAAAGGAGGAGGCTACAAAGCTTGATAAGAAATGTACTCATTATCTTGCCCATGTAATTGTGACCCCTCTGTACAATATTTTCACCATAATAAAATAAAATAAAAAGTTCTATGCATTTTAATTTCTATCTATTTTAAGTTACTATTATTTAAAATGCTATGTATTTTAAGTTACCAATTTTTTTAGGAAACTATAATGTAGAAAGTGAATAGATAATATAATTAAACAATTGGGGGGAGGAGGTTAGACATTTTTATTATATTATAGCTACAGATAGAACTTAAAAATTTTGGGTACACGTCCCTTTTTCTTTGTCACTATTATAGAAAAACATTAAAATTACATTAAAATTACTCTTTCTCTAGTTAAAATGAAAAGCATCCATATTAGGAACCCATTTTGCCCTTTTTTACAATGTGTATCTTTGCTTAGAGCAATTTTGAAAGGTGCCTTGAAATGATGATATTCTCTTAAACATTAATTCATTTACAAAAGTTCTAGGGACCAATTCTGCATGTTTGTAGAGTTTTGGGGGATTAATTTCCAAACTGGTTGCTATTTGTCATACCTGAACGAGATTAAATGAGATTTTGAATATAAAATGACTGCTTTTACTGGGCTTAATATCCATGAAAGCTCAGGAAGCTGGTTGAGTACAAAATCATCCTCTGTTCAAGGATTTCAAACCCTAACTTCAGTAATAGCAGTAGCAGACATTTAAAAAAAGAAAATAAAGGAAATGTACTTAGGGAGAAAATCTCTGGTTATTTTGTGAACATACCACTCCATTCACTGACAGCAGCTGGTCTCCTCTTTTGAGGCCTCCGTGTCTTTCAGCCACCCCTCCAGGGATGATGCGAGAGATATAAATTGGCGAATTTTGTTCCTTTCCTCCCATCACGTTAAAACCAAGGCCTTCATCAGTCTTTGGCAGTTCAACTACCCGAGGGTGGGAGTGGCCTTCACTTGCTGCAAAAGCTGCCACTGTTGCCTGGAAGAAAAGATGGTCTTTTGGTAATAAAACAAGGGAAGTAAGGCAAATCGGATGCATTGCAGGGAGCAACTTAGGCAAACTGCGTGTATTTCTACAGCACTCTCTGTTGAAGAAAGAACACCAAATGTCTTCATTTAGATGCCATCTCGGAGTCATTTCTGTAGTGAATCCCCATCTACCTATTTTCAGCTTTCCAGAGCTTATCCGGCACGATAAACATCTCCCTCATGAATCTTTCACTATCACCTTGGGTGAGTGAAAATGTTCCAAATCTAGGACTCCAAATAATTTTCATACATACACTATCTAGTATTAAAAAAATTGCTTGTACATATTATGTTGAAAATGAACTTTACAACTTTGCTGGGTGGGGAGATAGAAGTTGGGGAGGTGGGGGGGCGGGGCGGGGGGAGGGAAGGGATAGTAGGGGAAAAACAAAGGAGGGGGTAAGAATGCTCGATAGGAAATGTACTCATTACCTTTCTCATGTAACTGTAACCCCTTTGTACAGTATCTTTACAATAAAAATATTTATTAGAAAATTTGTTTGTACTTTAAATATTTATGATCACCTTATGGGTAGATTGCGTGTGGTAATTTTCATGGAACATGCATCCTAACTTGGTGCTTGCCCATCAATATTAGTAAATACTATTCAACAAACTGAAGAACACTTTTAATACAGATTGTTATGATACAGGTGTAATCTTGTTATTGTAAGAACACTGGTTTAATAAGTAAGACTACTGGTATAACAAATAAGACCACTGGTTTAATAAATATGAGGCTTTTTAAAAGCAACATTCAGGATGCCCAAAAGAACATAAAAATTAAAATGAAACTGAAGATTCAAGGCAATTATTTAATATTTAGTACCATTATAACATATTACTATGAGAGACCTTTACTCTGACTCAAGATTTCTTCCCTACTTTTCACATTCGTATTTCAAGTACTATAGTGGCATAGGCCAACTTCATATATGGAACACATAATTAAATATGGCAAATTTTTTTCCTTTAAAATTCATATGTTAGTTTCTTTGAGTAAGTTTAGGGAAATAACTTACCATTAGTTACTGCCACCCCCACCCCATGGAAATGAAATAACAGCATTGGAGAAGGTCAAAAAAAGGTAAAAAAAAAAAAAAAGATTCTGTTTGACTCTTAGTTTCCACTTGCATTAGCCTGATTTAACCACAGTTGATTAGATGCCTACGGTAAAGGGATTTACTCTACACTGTGAAAATATTGATTCTCAACTGCTGTACATTCTTTATCCACACACGGCGTTATCACATCAATTCAGCATAATGCTACTGCCTGCATTTAGTGAGAGCTATTGGCTGACATGGAAATAATGGCTTGTTTTAGCTACATGCATTTGCTCATGCAAACCTTGTTGTCATGCATAGGGTTTAATGGCTGACATGGATGCAATGCAGACAGCCCAGAAACAACCAGAAAATATTGTGCTATTGCAACATTATGCTGCTATCCTGCTGTTCTACATGAATAAGAAATGAGAATGGCAAAACACTACATAATTCACTTTCCCTTTAATTAAACCATGTAGGGATCATTTTTCTCCATGTCTTTACTTCAGTATGAGCAAAGCATGATGGAATGGTAGTTATACCCCCTTTGTGTTTTTTTTTTGTCCCAGTTAGAGAAAAAAAAAAAGAAACCAACTTACAAATCTACAGTGTTCAGTTACAGAATGAAAACTGAAAAATCAGGGGAGAAACCATACAACAGGTGATATAACGCAAAAGAACTAGAGGGAAAATTCTGATTATATTCACTGAATACTTACTTTGGGTATGTTATTAGAAAGATAAAAGCTTTTCAGAAAGCAAGTCATGTTCTATTGTAACATTTCTATAAGTTGTGAAATAGAAACTGCAGTAATTTAAAACTACTATTGTTTCCTGATCTATCATTCAGAAAATCTCATGATTCTATTACTGTATTGTTTTCATTATTAGTAGAGTCTCTGTAATCTCTGGATCTGAGTTTTTAAAATGCAAAAAGTGTTCATTACTACAAGAGATGACATTTAAACCAATGTTACATTCTTCAGCAATTTACCCACTGTTCAGCTGAATGCAAGGAAGGATTGATCCTGAGTCAGAGGTATCAGGTTAGCTCTGTGCATACCTAGCTATTGTCTTTATGTCAGTGCAGATAAATCCTCATGCACTGAGCAGAATACAAGTTCTTTCAGATCACAGGAATGTGCCAGAAAAACAAGTATTTTGGACAGTGAACCAGTAGATTTGCTTGTGCCAAAATGGACATTTAGCGAGTTTAATGAAATCATTCTCCTTTCTTAAGCTACAGAAGCAGCAGAAACGTTCAATTTTCCATTAGGAGTTTTACCTGGGAAGTAGTACTGGTTCTAGACTCTGGGCTGCCACTGATGTCTAAATTCTCTTAGTGTACACACGAGAATACCTGAAACACACACGCGCACAATCAATTACTACATCACTGGGCTCAAGTATAGTTTTAAAGTTACTCAAGCCTTACCTTTGCTGTGGCCCTTGCACGGAACTCAGGACAGCCATTAACAGTTATCGTTTCATGCATATATTGATACACCTAAAATATTCACATGAAAAAGAGCGTGTAAGAATATTATGAATAGTAAATCTTTTCTTACAGATAATATATTTTCATTTTAGGACCCAAACTCTATCAAATGAGAAATAGGACTGAATCAATTATTGTGATGACTTCACCAAACATCTTTTATGTTTGGTGGCAGCTTGGATCAAGCAAGGTAAACTCATTTATTCAAAAGTTTTAAATTAATCTACCCACCTCTCAATGTTAAAAACTAACAATCTACTTTTATATTTGGTTTTAGATAAAAACTGCATTGTCAGTAAAGTTTGTCTTTCATTTTTAACCATATCTCTAGTTCAAAAAATGTTATTCATTATGTATATAGTTACTTCCTGAATTTGGAAATATTTTCTAAATTGATATTCTCCAAAGCTAAGATAACAATCTTTCTCTTGGCTCAAACATACACTGTATTGGAAGGTATGTTGCTGTCAATGAAATGTATCATAATTTGAACATTTATAACATAATCTACTCCATGAGCCTCTTTTGCTTTAGTATGAGCTGGTTGTATCATCAGAGTCCTTTGAACATAGAAAGAAAAATGGCATCCTAGAGTAATGACAAGCAAAGGAGAGATACTTAAAATAACTTAATGCAGAACACATCAGCTTCCAGTTCATACTAAAAGTTAGATAAAGGGTAGAGGTAACATTTCAACCATGAAGTATGTTGAGATATATATATATATATAGATATAGATATAGATATAGATATAAATATCTATATCTATATATATATCTATTTGGACCAAAGCTGACATTTTACAATACAACTGATCAATGGTGTGGTCTGTTTTGTTACACTGATCCTCTTTCTGCCCATTTAGAAAATGCATCAAGAATATTTATTTATTGGGGTCATTTTAATTTAAAATACTTCCAAAGTATCTGGATGCTAAGGACACCCTTTAAATAATAGCTATTTTGATTTTAGATTATTGTTTTAGACCCAGCTATAGAAACCTTTGAAACCTGGTAGATAAAACTGTTTTCTGGCTGCTTGTGGTGGCTCAGGTTTGTAATCCTAGCTGGTCCAGAGAGAGAGAAAGAGATCAGAAAATCATGGTTCAAAGCCAGCCCTAGCATAAAAGTACACAAAACGGCATGTCATTCAATGACTCGGTGCAGTGGTGTTTTGTCTATCATCACCAGTGACAGGATGGTACAGCCCAGTATAGCTAGGCACAGAGGGGGAGAGCCTACCTCAAAAATAACCAAGGAGAAAAGTAACAGAATGCATGACTCAAGCACAAGATCCTGAGTATTATTAAAGAAAATCAAACAAAACAAAGTGAAATAAAACACTTGTTTTCCTTATTCTTTTTTTTTTTTGGGGTCCGGTCATGGGGCCTGAACTCTGGGCCTGGGCGCTGTCCCTCAGCTCTTTTAGCTCTAGGCTAGCGCTGTACCACTTGAGCCACAGTGCCACTTCTGGCTTTTTTCTTTTTGCTTATGTGGTGCTGGGGAATTGAACCCAGGGCCTCATGCATGCAAGGCAAGCGCTCTACCACTGAACCACCTCCCCAGCCCCTTGTTTTCCTTATTCCTTCAGGAATAAGATTATAAAATGTATTAATATCAAAATAAACTGAAGTAGGAAGAATGACTAGTAAAGGTTTGAAGAAGACACATGGAAAAGTTAATAAGGGTTTATATATATTACATATATATGTATTGGATGGTATGCTCATTTTAAGTCTAACTAGTAAAGTTGAAAATATCTATGTTCAGAAGTAACACTCAATCTCAATTATTCTGGAGTATTTTGGATAAATGGTCTGTCATTTATTTTACTAGAAAATGAAATAAGCAAACCACTATTAAATGTTTGAAGGGACAATTCTTCCTCTCTACTAATCTTATTTTAAACATTGAGGTCACAGGTCAGCAGAGTGAATCCAAAATTTGATTCATTCATTGGTTAACAACCATTTGCTGGGTATCTGGGACATCTGCTATCCTACCATTTTTTGGCTTTCTCCTCATTTCTCAAGACAATTTGGTTGAATCTCTACTACTAGTGACTCTTCCTTCCCTCGTGGCATGGATAGAAGGAAATTATCTGGACTAGAAGTGCAGGAACTCAATTCAGAATCTACCTTGTAGCTCAGGTCTTCTAACTAAACAAACAGCTATATTTGAAGATCTGGATGATGATAAGAACAAGTTTACAGAGTATCTAGAGAATGTGCAATATGTCCAGGTCACCAGAGTAGCTGTCACACATATTTCTTTGGAAAGGTTCTATTTTGTTTGGTATAAAGAAAATTCCACAAACAAATTCCACTTATTTTCTCTAATAGTCCATTACAAAGAGAATAATTTTCTTTGCCCTCTTTCTCTTGTTAATGAATTCTCATAACTTATACTTCAATTTATCTTGGCTTTCGCTGAAAGCCCTACATTAGCTGCCTACGGGTCTCCCACCACCAGTATTATTCAGTTGCCCAACTGACCATGTCACTCCTGTGCTTTTGGCCACTTGTGACCTTACAGTAACAGTCAAATACAAGCAGCGGCGAATTGCTCCTAATACTATCTAGTGAGGAAGCTGAAATTTGAGGATTGTGGTTGGAAGCCAGTTAGAGCAGGACTTATATCTCCAGTTAACAAGAAACTAATCAGAAGTGGAACTGTGGATCAAGTGGTAGAGTGCAGGCCTTAAGCAAAAATCTCAGGGTTAGTTCCTAGGCCCCAAGTTCAAGCCTCCACACTCCCCAAAACAAAGCCTACAGAAGTTAAACCAGAGTTCCTAGTGCAGAACCCAGTCTTCTCTTTAGTTTCATCCCACTTCCTGTTCTTGGCTCCCCTTATTCCCTGAACATATCAATCTCTCTCAATGGTCCAGGTCTTTGCACACATCCTGTTCAACTCTGCTTAGAATGCCCTTCCACTAGACTGACAGTTACTTATGAGAATTTAACATGGCAATCAAAGGCCAATTCAGACATTATAACTCCTTTGTTAAATACTCTTTGCCTCATCAAGTAGAATAAGCTACTCCCTATTGCCTCTCAGTTGCTGGCCACCTGAAGTTCTCTAGGGTTATTCTGATTAATCTTTCCAGAGAGAGTGACTTCTTCAATTCTACTCAAAGATGTTTATGAAGACATTCAAGTAATTACTAGGTTGTCATCAACTGATAAAGGCAAAGGTAATTATGTAAGTACCTGGGATAAAGTAAATGCCCAACAAATATTACAATTTAAGGATAATTATTCTTAACATCCCAATTTTAATTTACATTTAGAAAGTGGGACAAACAAGGGGCAGTAGTGTCTAGATAATTGCAGTGTTTAGAGAAGAATTTGGAAGCAAACCCTGGCTATAATACTTTCTAAAGGACTTATGTTGGTCAGGTTAGGTACTTGATTTCTCTGGGATTAATGGTCTCATTTGAAACATATTCATTAACATAAGACTAACTTCTAAATCTTTCATGAAGGTTGAGTAAGATAAGTACAGTTCGCTACATACAGTTAATTAAAATTAGCAATTACTGTTGTCACTTTACTTATTAATTAATTGATTTGATGTTGTCAAAAGTTGTCAACAAGGGGCAAATTTATTCCTCCGGGAGACATTTGGCAATGTTTAGTGGCATTTTCAGTTGTCAAAAGCCAAAAGGGTTTTTGGCATCTGGTTCTTAGAGGCCAGGAAGAATGCTAAACATTCTACCCTATACAGAGAAGCCCTCACAGCAAGGAAGTATCTGCCCAAATACCTACAGTATTGAGGTAAAAAGAAACAAGCTATTTTTTTCATATGTGCAATAAATAGTAAGACATAAAAATGCACTCTTATAGCACAGAGTAAGAGAGTCTTACAGATATAGTCAGTAAAAAATTGTTGTAGTAAATTATCATGTCTCTTGTTTGCATTAAAGACTACCTGGGTCACACATAATGTTAAATGTTTTATATCCACGAGTTCATTTGCTTCACAGGGCTTTTCATTTAGGCACTTTTGATGCATGGGACTTGGATCTCAAAGATAGTGACCTGCTATGACTGTACATCAAGTTAGCTACAGAACTGTCACACAGGCTCAAACCTGTCAGCCTCCAAAACCTTTCCTCTTTCCTTTACATCAGACTTTCTTATGCTAAGACAGAATCAAACCACTAGTATTTTGGCAAAAGGTATGAAAACAAATACTTGCACACATAACAAGCCTTTCCTTAGATTTTGCATGTAGGTATATAGTTTCATTGCTGTATTATATAAACAATATATAATATATTTATATATAAATAATAAATATTTACATTATATCACTTTACACATAAATAGATATATAAGGGCTACTAAAAATGGGTGCTGGATGCAAATGTACAATGCAACAGTAGTGAAACCAAAATGCTTCACTCCAAGTGAAAGTGAAGTAGCATTTGAATCTCCATCTATGATAGTAATAGACTACAATTGAGTGACATTAGTCCCTCGAGTGACATCAGTCCCATAGAATTAATTATCCACCATTTCCCCACCCCTCCCATAATTTGAGATCAATCACTAGTCTTTAAGGGATTTTATGTCAACATGATATTACTAGATAGGAGGAAAATGTCATCTCAGATAATAAGTGCTGTCCAATGCTTGGATTAGGAGATAGATGAGGAAAATTTTGGACAAAGTGAGGCCCTTAAATATCTGATCATCTAAATGGAAGCTTTTCCTGGAATACTCTGTGCAGGTGAAGTCTGATAAGAAAGGCACATTAAGAAACGTCTCTAGTTCCAGCTCTTAAGTGCTGTGGAAGAAGCAGAAGTCTCCCCATGAGTATTCTAGAATCACTGAGCAGAGGTTTAAATGTCACCCCGCCCCTAGCATGAAGACAGTAAGTGGCACTTCCTTTCACTGGTTTTGTGGGAAATAGTAAGGAAGCATCAGGACCGCAGGTATATTACATAACACAGGTCTCAAATCTCTACTCATTTTGAAATTTCTGGAAGTTATTTATGTTACTATT